TATATATATGTATGTATATATATACACACACACACACACATACATACACACAATAAATACATACACACAAACACACACAAAAGAAAACAAATCCTTAAGTGTCTCAACAAAATGAAACCTCCCACCAAGAATGTAAGTACTCTCCTGGTTGGTAGTAGCTTCCTTCTGTTATTGCTTCAATACATTTCTCTTTTTTTTTTAAACTGTATTTTTTTTGGTCTTTTCCTTTATGGTATTGGGGATCGAACCCAGGATGTTACATTTACTAGGCAAGCACTTTGCCACTGAGCTACTTCCCAGCCCCAATGTATTTCTTTCAGCCCCAATGTATTTCTTTCAGCTTACCAAATCATTACAAAAGTTAGACCAATGGATTGAGAATGTAACTTCTAAAACAATAATTTTTCTGAAGACTAATAATATTAAAGTACTTTGAAAACAGAAAAAATATATCATTACCATAACTATTTCTGTTATGTTCTAGTTCTTATATATGTAAAGTATATTTTAAAAATATTTGTAGCCAACCAATATAGGCTTTGTTGATATATAAAAAAATCTCATACAATCAAATCTTTCAAAGTCCTATAGGAAAATACTTCTCATCTCTATTAGTTAAATGTAAATTTAATTCCAACTCACTAAATATGGATCAACAACATATACGCCAACAGAAAAGATTTCTATTTCAATTTAATTGCTTGATCAACAAATGCTTTTTCAAAATCTGGAGTTTCTTTCTTTTCTTCTTTCCCTCCCTTCCTTCCTTCTTGCTTGATGAACAAAAGCTTTTTCAAAATCTGGACTTTCTTTCTCTCTCTCTTTCTTTTTTTTTCTTTCTCTCTCTTCTCTTTCCTTCCTCCCCTCCCTCCCTCCCTTCCTTCTTCTCTCTCCCTCCCCCTTTCCTTTCCTTTTTCCTCCTTTCTTTTCTTTAGTGCTGGCATTAGGAGGTGAACTCAGGGCCTCACTTTTCCATTTTTTTTCCCCATGAAGGGCTGGTGGTCTACCAGTTGAGTCATGCCTCCAGTTCTGGTTTTTTGTGGGTTAACTCAGATAAGAGTTTCATGGATTTGCCTGTTCAAGCTGACATGAAATCATGACCTCAGGTCTTAGTTTCCAGAGTAGTTGAGCACAGGACTAATTTTTAAAATAGAGAATATATGCCTAGTTCTCAAATGTTCAATAAATATATTCATTCTTTTTTCCTTTTCTACAATTTTTATTAAGTTTTTTATTGTGAAAATATCATACAGAGGGGTTACAATTACATGAGCAAGTACATTTCTTATCAAGCATTGTTGCCTCTTCCTTTGTTTCCCCTTACCATTCCTGCCCCCCCCCGAAGTTGTAAAGTTTGTTTTTTGACATAGCATCTTGTACATTTCATTGTTGCAATGGGTCCACCTGTATCCCTATTTAAACAATTTGTTTTTTCCCTTCCTCTCTCCAAATTGTACCAACATCAAAAACAGTGAAAACGGGTTATACCATGGGGGAGGGACATACAAAGCAACAGAAAAAAAATCACCTTATAAATATGCTAGAAACAATAGCAAGAAAGAAAAACCACTTGAGTCCTTATCTTGAGGTTCATGTCACCTAACATCAACTTATCGGACCTTTTCTGCTTGTCTCAGAGATATACTAGTTATTGCAAATAAGGGAAACCATGGGATATATGTTTCTTGGGGCCTGGCTTACTTCACTTAATTTTTTCAGTACATTCTTTCTTTTAGAACTTATTTCTTCTTTTTGTATATTTGTGCTCATTAGCACTTTACTTACAGATATACAAAAGAAGAGAAAGGAAAAAAAGATAATTTTTATTTTTATTAAATGATTATACTATAAGTAAACCTAATGAGCTCCTCAAAGAATTGAGCCTTTCCTATGTTAGTAAAGATAATTAAAATTAACTCACTGAGTTTAGATTTATTTCCTACTGAGTATTTTATTCCACAAGGGGATTTTCCTCTTTCTATCTATAAGTATAGTTAAAACTGATGCAACATTATCAATTTTTTGGAAATAATCTATCTCTGACATGATTTCTGCTACTTAAACATGTGTGTGTGTGTGTGTGTGAGAGAGAGAGAGAGAGAGAGAGAGAGAGAGAGTCAGTTGTGAGGCCTGAACTCTGGGCCTGGGCCCTGGAAGTGGCGCTGTGGCTCAAGTGGTACAGCACTAGCCTTGAGCTGAAGAGCTAGGAACAGTGCCCAGACCCAGAATTCAAGCCACACGACCAACAATGATACTTAAGCCAGATATACAGATATATATCTGTAGGTTAAACAATGATACTTAAGCCAGATATACAGATATATATCTGTAGGTTAAACACCTATCTTACAAAATTAAAATACTTTTAAAAAGTATTTTATTTCCCTTTGAATTTCCCCACAAATTTAACAAATAACAAAAACTTACCCAATATCCCTTCTGTCCTAAGTAATTTTAAAAATAACTTATATGTATTTTATACTTCAGATACTCTATTATTATTTGGTTGGTCATGGGGCTTGAACTCTGGGCTTAGGCACTGTCCATCAGCAGTTTAGCTCAAGGCTAGCGCTCTACTACTTTAGCCATAGTGCCACTTCTGGTTTTCTGATGGTTTATTGAAGATAAGAGTCTCATGGACTTTCCTGCCTGAGCTGGCTTTGAACTGTGATCCTCAGCCTCCTTAGTAGCTAGGATTACAAGGGTGCGCCACCTGGTGATACTTATTTTTAAACATGTACTATAAATGAGATAACATGAGTTTGGTTATTAAAATTTAATGGTGTTGACATTTAGAAGTCTTGGAAACAGGAAAATTGTAAATACAGTTTACTACTTTAGTGCAAAATAGATGTCAGTATTTATAGTAGTTCAATGATGTTATTATATACTATAGCAAACTTCATTTCTGAATTTTATAAAATAAACCTAATTAAACATAAATTCCAAATTAACAGTTTCTATGATTACCAATAATTTTTAGATAAAGGGTAATTGGAATGGGGTAAAGAAAGCTGAATGATTCAAAAAATAATGGTTTTAAATTTTAAAAAAAGATCTTAAAGAGAATTTATTAAGAGAACATATTAAGGTAGTCTTAGCTGTAGAATCTGTAAACTGAATTGTCATAACAAAAGTAAATTTCCTGTTTTATTTAGTAAGAAAGATACAAAGTACTCTTGACTCAGTTTGGCTGACATCATTAGTTCTTGTTTTATTCAAGATGCACTATTCCATAAAAACTAACCCATCTCATTAAAAAAAATAGTCTTTATATTTCTACTATATATCTGTGTTTTCACATTGTTTAGTTTTAAAAAAATTACGTAATTCCCTACTTTTCACGCTATAATTTCCCCTTTTTTACTTAATACTGCTTTATGAACCAAGTACATAGATACATAAAGTTTATTTACATTTTTTAAGCTGCTTTAAACACATCCTATTCTGCTCTTGATGGATATTTAGGGTGGTTTCTAACCAGTGTAGCATGAACATCCTTGCACATGTAAGGATGTTCATGCCCCTCCATCTACATATTCTTTCAATTCTATTTTTTTTTTGTTGGTTGTGGGTCTTGACTCTGAGCCTGGTTGCTGTTCCTCAGCTCTACGTAAGTGCTCTACCACTTGAGCCACAGTGTCACTTTCAGTTTTCTGGTGGTTAATTGGAGATAAGAGTCTCATGAGGGGCTGGGAAGGTGGCTCAGTGGTAGAGCACTTGCCTTGCATGCTCGAGGCCCTGGGTTCGATTCCTCAACACCACATAAGAAAAAAGCCAGGAGTGGCGCTGTGGCTCAAGTGGTAGAGCATTAGCCTTGAGCTGAAGAGCTGAGGCACAGCGCCCAGGCCCAGAGTTCAGGCCCTACGACCGGACCCAAAAAAAAAAAAAAGTCTCATGAACTTTCCTGCCTGGGCTGGCTTTGAACCGTGATCCTCAGATCTCAGCCTCCTTAGTAGCTAGGATTACAGACATGATCCACAGGCACCCAGCTTTCTTTCAATTCTTATACATATTCTTTGCACATTGCTTTAGTGAGGATTATTAGTTAAGCTAACATGGTAACTTTTTTAAAACTAAGTACCAGAAACTGAAAGAAAAGATAGAAAACTATTTAAAAAGAATTAAACTAGCACATCTAAATTTACTGACTACCTTAATTTAAATTATTTCATTTCGGTTGAGGGGCTTGAACTCAGGGCGTGGGTGCTGTCCCTGAGCCTCTTTGTGCTCAAGGCTAACGCTCTACCACTTGAGCCACAGTGCCACTTCCAGTTTTTGAGTGGCTAACTGGAGACAAGAGGCTCATTGGGACTTTCCTGCCTGGGCTGGCTTCAAACTCAGATCTCAGCCTCCTGAGTAGCCAGGATTACAGGCCTGAGCCACCAGTGCCCTGCTTAGTTTAAATTTTTATTTCTTTTTTAAATATTTTAATTCTTTGTTCAATACTGTGACATAATGAAATTCATATGTTTACTTGGAAATAGTTCTGTTAGGAACATTTATATTACATATACGTATAAATTTCTGTTTAGAATTCCAGTTGTGGATCACTTAGGAGCATTGAAAATGTATTTTGTAGTGGCATTTAAATATTGCTTTGTGTATAGGTGTGTTGAGCATATGCTGGTACTAGGACTTGAACTCAGGGCCAAGACATTCTCCCTTAGACATTTTGCTCAAGGCTAGTGCTCTACAACTTGAGCCAAATTCCACTTTTGGCTTTTTGGTGATTAACTGGAAATAAGAGTCTCATAAACTTTTCTGCCTGGGTTGGCTTTGAACTGCTATCTTGAGATCTTAGCCTTCCCTGAATAGCTAGAATTACAGGCATGAGACACCAACACTTAGTTATAAATGTTGCTTTTTCAGAAGCAGCGTTTTACTTACATCCTGTCCATCCAAATTGTGACACAATACTAAGAAATTAAGCAAATCTGTGGGACCTAATTTCTCATTTATTATATTTATTTAGGAAATAAATTTGAAAATAAGTCTACCTTTGGTTCTTTGTCTTTTGGCATTCCAGGTTTCATTTTATCATGTGGATGGTCAGGAGTCAAATTATTATTCTTTGTTTCACTGTCTTCAAACAAGGGAACGTGGCTGTAATTGTTATCTACAAGACAAAAACTTCTTGGACATTAGCAGAAAACCTTTATTTTTGATCATGGAAAAAAAGGAAACATAATAAAAACCAAAAGTATATTTTAAAAGAATCAATTTTTAAAAATTATTTATAGTTAGCTTGAGAAGTTACTCATTTAGATGTTTCTTTTGTACTAAATATACCAAAACTTACATTCTCCCAAAGTAAAAGGTAAAATATTTAGAATTTAGAAACTACAAATATGTTCTTTGCATTTTACTTTTACCAACATATTTTCAGATATTCAATTCTTGGATTAGACAATTATTTTCATAACGACCCCATAGTTATTAAGAAAGGAAATTAGAAAATAGACCTATCCTATAAAGAATAAAAAATATAGCTACTCACAACTTTTATCATTTATGAATTTTTCTTGTTAACATTTTGGTTTATATTCCACCAGCTTTTCTTTTTTTTTTTTTTTTGTCAGTCATGGGGTCTGAACTCTGGGCCTAGGCACTGTCACTCAGCATTTCAGCTCAAGGCTAGCGCTCTACCACTTGAGCCACAGTGCCACTTCCAGCTTTTTCTGCTTATGTGGTGCTGAGGAATTGAACCCAGGGCCTCATGCATGCAAAGCAAGTACTATACCACTGAGCCAGCTTCCCAGCCCCCAGCTTTTCTTTTTCTATAAATACAAATCCAAACAAGAATGTTATTCTGTATAAATAAAATACTGTTGCATGTATTTTTGTATCTAGCTCTATTTTTGCTATATACCACCATCATATTTACTGTTAGCTACATAATTGTTCTGAATCATTGTAACAAGTTTTGGACTGTCTCCCTCCCTCCCTCCCTTCCTCCTTCTTTGTTTCTGGATTGGGTTTACTATATACAACACTTCTGATTTACTGTATAAAACATTTCAAAAGAAAAGACACATAGGGCAAGAAAATGGAGAAGACACACAGATCCTCCCCCATGTCCTCTTTGGTGCATCACCTTCTAGGAATCTGTCCACATGTTCAGTTAGCTAGAAGCCTACACACTTCCTTGTTTCTGACTGTTCACTATTAGAAATTATACTGTGATGCACCTCCTGTACACATATCATGGTAAATTCACATATATTTTCTTATGATATATAAGAAATTTTTTAGTTTAATAGGCATGGAAATTTAAAAAATGTTTGCTGCTTTTTGACAAAGTGTCTTCAAAGAATTTTTCTCAACCTATGGTTCTATCATCGATGAGATTGTTCTACTTACCTTGCAGCTATTCATTTAAATAAAAATGTATAGCTGCATTGCATTTGTTTTATTAGAACTATTAGGAAACAATGGAAAAGTAAAATAGAATAACTCAAATTCTACCTTTCTTTCCTTTAAAGGTTTAAGAAACACATGACAAAATAACATGAACATACCTCGTCTTGAATTCACAAGAAGTAACTGTGATTTTAGCTTGTCAATAATCATTTGTTGAAGTAACAGCTGTTCCTGTTGCTCACGTATTCTCTGCTCATAGTTCTCAGTCTGCTAACATAAGAACCAGTTAGCCTGATATTTACTGACAGACATGAATTTATTCTTTTTTTTTTTGGTCTGGTCGTGGGGCCTGAACTCTGGGCCTGGGCGCTGTCCCTCAGCTCTTCAGCTCAAGGCTAGAGCTCTACCACTTGAGCCACAGCGTCACTTCCGGCTTTTTTCTTCTTGCTTATGTGGTGCTGAGGAATCGAACCTCAGGGCCTCAGGCATGTAAGGCAAGAGCTCTACCACTGAGCCACCTTCCCAGTCCCATGAGTACATTTCTTATGAAGCATTGTTGCCTCCTCCTTTGTTTCTCCCCTTTCCCATCCCTTCCCATCCACCCTGCTCCCGTTTGTATGTTCTTCCCCCATGGTTTAACCCCTGTCCTCACTGCATTTTTAAAAAAAAATATATACTTTTTATTGTAAAGATACTGTACAGAGGGGTTACAGTTACATGAGTAAGGTAATGAGTACATTTCCTATGGAGCATTGTTACCCCCTCCTTTGCTTTTCCCCTACCATCCCTTTCCTCCCCACCTCCCCACTCCTCCCTTCCCCCACCCCAAAGTTGTAAAGTTTGTTTTCAACATAGTATCTTATACATCTGTATAAGTTGTATCCTTATTTAAGCATTTTGTTATTTCCCTTCCCCTCCCCAAATTAGAAAAATGTATATACAAGATGGAGGACACTGGAATCAAATACAGTGAAAACAGGGGTCATACCATGGGCGAAGAAACAAAAAAAATCACATAGTACATTATACATTCTGTATCAATTTCTATAATTTAAAATTGACTTAATGATTATAATTAAAGAAACTCTATTATTTTTAGATATTCATAAGCCTAAAATTCTTCATTAATTATAAATTACGTAGCTGTTCCAAGATTTTCACATATAACTTGAGAAGTTAAAGCAAAGTATATTTGTTCAAGTAAAAGCAAACTTTTATAAGACACTTCAAACATGAACAACTGACAACTTATAAGGAATCCCTGAGACATACTGGCTTTGAATATTGCTTGAGGGCAGTCTTACCATAGACACTTGACACTTACCATAAAACTCTGCAAAGTATGTTAAAAACATGCTTTTTTTGGTTGTTGTTTTAATTTGTGCCAGCACTGGGGCTTGGGCTCAGGGCCTTTGTCCCTTACTTTTTTTTTTTTGCTCAAGGCTGGTGCTCAGCCATTTGAGTCAGAACTCTACTTCTGACATTTTGCTAGTTTTATTAGAGATAAGAAGAGTCTTATGGATTTTTCTTCCTGGGCTGGTTTTGAACCATGACTCTCAGATCTCTGTCTTCTGAGTAGCTGGGATTACAGACATGGGCCGCCAGTGCGTGCCTAACTTTAAACATGTTTCTGAGGAAAATGAAGGGGAAAAAAAAATCTAGGTAAATTTTATTAACAAAAAAAATGAATCTTCAGAGTCTAAGAACTACAGGTTCAATGACTGAGTTGCAAAGCAACCCTAGATAATCAAGTCTGGTCTAAAACATAACTTCTCAGGATAAGACATTTTATTCTTATATAGATTTCACATCCAAGCTGCTAAAATAAGTGGGTAAGGTGACTGAAAGAAAAGATGCAAGTATCTATAGCAAATGCTTTTCTTTTTCTTAAGCATCAGCAAGGCTTTATTTTAGTATTACAAGGGTAAAGTAGAAAGAAAAAGAAAAAGAGAGGGAGATATTTCCTTTCCCCCTACAAGAAATAGTAGTTAAAGATTGTTACAAAAAACAAAAACAACCCTCTTACTACCTTACAATTACCTTGCTAGCACTGACAAATCAACAAATATGTTCTGGTCTTCTCTAACTACTTCAATGAATTTAAAACTTTCTTCAAATAACTTGAATTTCTTCATAAACATCAATTCATAATGACCATTTTCATTATATATTGATAGGCAGATATATTCCACTGTCCAAGGATAAAATAACCAGTCTAAAAAAGTTTAGAAGGCTACTAGGTCCAAAGTAAATATTCAGTTTATTCTAAGTCTCAGTCTATCTACCATGGGTTTTATTTTCCCACTTTAATGAAGAAACCAAATAGCCATATGTTTTCTTTTGGAACCAACTCAGGAAGCTTCTGCAGTTAATTTTCATCTTCTCTCTGGCTTAAATACATAAATACACACTTCAGTACAACTGCACACAATATATTACAATAAGCCAATAACAATGTTGAAATGTGTCCAATAACTAGGCAATACTAATGGCTACTTCATGTGAAAATTTTTAACATCAACTACTTAATGCTATAATAATTACAAAGTTCAATACTCTGAAGGTACAGCAGAGGAAATATAATAGCAATGGTCCATTTGTTTTCCTACTGTACACTTAATTTATTTAATTAGAACAATTATAGTATTCTCTTTTTTTTTTTTTTCTTGGGGTCCAGTCGTGGGGCCTGAACTCTGGGCCTGGGCGCTGTCCCTCAGCTCTTCAGCTCAAGGCTAGCGCTCTACCACTTGAGCCACAGCGCCCACTTCTGGCTCTCTTCTTTTTGCTTATGTGGTACTGAGGAATCGAACCAAGGGCCTTGAGCATGCAAGGCAAACACTCTACCACTGAGCCACCTTCCCAGCCCTATAGTATTCTCATTTATCTACATGTCCTACATATGTCTGATTTCCTTTTAGACCATCAACCCTTTATGAACAGAGACTTTCTTGCTGATACCTCCAAAGTATCACAGAACACCTGACACATATTGAGCGGCTCAGTACATATTATTGAATAACTGCTAATGAAATATTAAGAGACAGAGTTATGCTTTCATAAATAGCCTGTCCAAATGGCCTTTATTTCTATAAGGGAAATAGGAAAAATATAAACAAAAATCAGCAAGTGATTAAATCAAAGAGGAAATTAAGTTTGGGAAAAATGGATGCAAAAATAACGTTCTTGGGAGAGAAATTATATATTGTTAAAGGATAGTAATTTTAGAAGAGAAAATTCATATTCCAAAAGTACAAAGACTTTGACTACAGGCTTTGAAAGTCCAGAAGAGAATACTGTTTACACAGGGAACTCTAACCAGTGTAATTAAATTTATTTGTATATGTGGAAACCAAGCAAGACAAATAAAAAATAATTTTGTTAACAAATCTGAAAACTCCCTTTAAAAGGCCTGATAATGGTTGCATAGTTACAGTGTTTAAAAGAAAAAAAATTACAAAGTAAATACATTCCAATGCCATCAGAGACCCCATAAAACAGAAAAATTACTAACAACCACATTGAAAATGTACAACAGCAATGTCTTGTCAACACTTCTGTACAGAGCACAGACATGACAGCTAAAACAGACAGAAGAGAAGATGCTTTTGACAGCCAGTGTGTGTGAATGATTCTTTGAGTCAGATGGCAGCAACAAGTTACCAACTAGGAGATCTGCATGACAACTAACCATCCATCTGTATCAAATACCATCTGGCCAAGATGACTCTGGCTTATGTGTATTTGACACTCCTTCTAATTCCAAAGACTAGCAAAACAAGTGGTCTACCAGTATCTAAAGAGGTAAACAAATACTTAAGTACTTGTGTCATAAAGTATTTTATATTCTTTTTGGTGTTCAAAAGTCAAACTGAAAATAATGGTGGTCAAATGTAGTACAATCTGACACTTATTAAATATGCTCATTCATAATACACTAGATTATCATATATAAAGCAAAAGCTTATCTTAAAATTATCCTTTAATCAAGGCAAAATTTCAGTCTTTTCTTTTTCAAAACTAAAGTACTGTACTTTCACTAATTTTGGACATGGAGCTGTTCAAGTTTTCCTAAGTTTCATAAATATTAAAATAGCTTTATAAAACAAAATTTTCTCTATTGCTGATATTGTACTGTCTTATCTCTCCTATTTTCCAATATGCTTATCTCCTACAGAGGATAAAAAGATCATGTGTCCTTAAATCATAACACTGAATAGGTCCAGCATTTCATCTTCAGGAACTAATCTCAGTATTCAGAGAAACACTACGCCTTTCCCCCAATGATTTAAACACTAAACATTTAAAATGTTTAATGAATTAAAACAAAATTCTCAATTTAAAAACCTTTCAAACTGCTCTAATTTTTTTTTTTTTGGTCGGTTGTGGAGCTTGAACTCTGGGCCTGGGCACTGTCCCTCAGGTCTTCAGCTCAAGGCTAGCGCTCTACCACTAGAGCCACAGCACCACTTCCGGTTTTCTGGTGGTTAATTGGAGATAAGAGTCTCATGGACTTTCCTTCCTGGGCTGGCTTTGAAACGTGATCCTCAGATCTCAGCCTCCTGAGCCACTGACACTTGGCAGACTTCTCTAATATTAATAAAGAAAGTTCTACTCAGCTACAAATGCTTTTAATAGGAAGTGTCATAGATCAGGAAAGGGAATAAATATCAATTATTCAGAATACACAGCACAACTGGATCCTAGTGTGGGAGGTAGGGAGGGAAGGGATAGTGGGACAAAAACAAGGAAGGGAAGGGGTAACAATTATCGACAAGTAATGTACTTATTGCCTTACTCATGTAAATGTAACCCTCTGTACAGCATCTTAACAATAAAATAAAAAATATACTGTCAATCAAAAATACACACACTTCTAATTATTCAAATTTTACAGAGACAAGTTATAAAACAATTATACAACACACAGATACACACACATTTACAGAGTGAAAATTCCATCCTTTGCCTTCCATTTCTCAAAGGTAACTATTGCCGACATTTTGTTATACATCTTTTGGGAAATTCTTTACCACTCTGTGTGTGTGTGTGTGTGTATTCATGCACACATACATGCATGTTCATGCACATCTTACCTTTTCAAAAAGTGAGATATGTTCTGTAACTAAATTCTTCAACTCAGCAACGTATCATGCTATCATCTCACTGAATACTTATTGTGTGCTATTTAATCTTAAATCAACTTTCTAACAAGATTCCCTTTCTTATTTTTCATATGAAGAAAAGTGAGTCTCAGCAAGATTCAAAGTAAT